ATATCGCTTACTGATCCCTCCCCCCTTGCCTTAACCACTGTTAACTCGATAAAAGAAAATGTACACACAAACACACATACACATATATACATATAATTCTGAATTCAATACATCAACTCATTATGTGTGAACAATACATACTGGACAAAATATGACAAAGATCCAGATCTGATTCATCTGTAACCTGCATATATATATATATATATATATATATATATATATATATATATATATATATATATATATATATATAAAGGGAATAAAATACTATATTAACTTTGAATTTATTTACAAACATGATATGTACATCGTTTCTTTGAGACAAGGAGTATAAGAAATGACTGATTTAGAAATTCGGTGTTGTTGTATGTAATTCACAGTCTAATGATGAAGAAATTACGAATGGCGTAATATGCAAGAGAAATGTATAAATAACGACATGGCTGGAATGGTTATACACAGAGAACTGACGTTGAAAGGTGATAAAATGTAAAATCAAATGGACACACACACGTGAATGTTTTCATATCCACTTTATTTTGCATTTTATTACTGCTGAACGTCCGTTAAATGGTGACTGTGGGTAAAAAGAAAAAGGACAAAACCGAGGCCGAACACAGTCGTCGGCGCTCAGTGAACGACTGTGAAGTAATCGGAGAAGAGCTCCTCGCCGGGCGCAACGTCTCGCGTGGCCACCAGCGCCACGAGGCGGAAGGGCAGGTCGGCCACGGGCACGTCCGCAGGGGGGGAGTACCACAGGTTGGGCAGGAGGTGCCTGTCCTCGAGGGCCACCTCCCCGGGCCTCACCGTCACCTCCTGATATGCCACGTTGCTCGGCCGCCCTGGGTGGGGAGGGGAAGGGGGAGAGGCCAATTATCGGCATCGTTCATGGCCTAATTAAGGCTATTGGTTCTGTTATTATGTATGCATGAGGAATCATTATCCATAAGATCCTGGTGTTCTATTTCGTACTGATGTAGGGTTATGACAAAGTAAAAATTAGAAAAAAATAAAGAAAAAAATCGAGGATCCACACCACTGAGGACAAAACCCTGACAATTAATATATCAATAATAACCAACCATCACTAACCAGCTGTCCGGTTGTTCACGTACTGGCCGACGTTGAGCGGATTCACAGGGTGGGGGGTGAGCCAAGTGGTGTCAGCCAAGGTCAGGTAGCCGACGCGGTCACGACCTACGCACGATCTGGTGGAAGGAAAGACTCTTTTACGTACGTCCTCTATGGGTTCTGTGAGTGTGGTGTGTCTTGTTCTAACAGAGTGGTGTTTGTTATTTTCGTTCACGAGTCCATGATTTTTTTTGGGGGGATTGGTTTGTCTATGTTTTTTATTATTATTTTTTTTTTTGGTCAGTCTATTTTCTTGTAGGTTTTAACTAGCACTTATTACCATGTTTATATATACGAAAAGAGGTCTTGTCCCTGCTCTCTGCCTCCCTCTCTCTAATAAATATATAAAAAATCTCTCCCGTCTTTCTCGTCTAGCAATCTTGCTGCCCTGCGTTCAATTCCCGCGTTGCCAGTGGACGGTAACCCCGGGCATGCCTTGCACACTGGGGGTAATTTAGAAGCAAAAAAAGACTTGTCACACTAAACAAACCAATAACCGTTGTAACAAACAGAATTAACTAAACTGTTATTAAATTATATATCCTCCTCCTTCATCCCCCCCCCCTCATTATTCTCCCTTTTCCCCCCTTCCCCTTCCCATTCACCTCCTTCCTCACCTATTCCCCACCTCCCTCTCCCCCCTCCCTCCACACACCCATAATCACCCCCCCCCCCCCTGCGCGGCCCACCTGAAAGCCGCCTTCGAGATCCTCCTGTCGTTGCCATCGACATGCACCCCGTCGATGCAGCGGAACACGAAGGAGTTGCCGACGCTCTGCAGGAAGATGGGCTGGAAGGGCAGGTACAGGAGCCCCGGGTACAGCGCCACCACCTGCCCTCGCTGTACCCGGGACTGTGCTTTGCCCTGGACCACGACGCCCGTGCCGCCCACGTGGCTGGCCGCCCGCACCACGCTGAAGCCCAACACCTCCTCCATGACCTTAAATGAGGGCGGGAGTAGTGATGGAGGGCTTTCTGACAGTTGTTAAAGGGGTTAATAATAATAATACTGATGATGATGATGATGATAATAATATCAATAACAATAGATAAATAATAATATCAATAACAATAGATAAATAATAATATCAATAAAATTATTAGTAAAACAGTAACAATTAACAAATGATAGCAGTAATAAAAAAAAAATAAAATAATAATAATAATAATAATACACAAACAACAACAATAATATTAATCATAATAACAAAGACGACCAGATTACCCCCTCCCCCCTTCTACTCACCCGGAGGCCCAGCTGGTGCTTCTCCTCGAGGGCGCGGGCGCGAGGGAGGGCGAAGCGGAGGGCGGAGGTGAGGCAGGTCAGCTGCTGCAACACGAGGTCATCTGGAATGACCTTGTCTGACGCGACGTTCTCCACGCTTCTCACGCTCCTGGGGGGGGTGAGCGGGGGTGGGGGAGGGTCAAAGGTCATGGCGTTGGACACGAACGGAAAAGTTTTTTTTTTTGAGTGATGTGAGCTCTCGCCCTCGCACACGCACGCACGCGCGCGCACACAAACACACACACACACACACACACACACACACACACACACACACACACACACACACACACACACACACACACACACACACACACACACACACACAATTACACAAAAAATAAGAAATAAATAAATGGGATTGATGTAAAGAAAGTAACTGTTTCAAATTTTGGAATCATAAATACTGAAATAAGAATAAGGACTTTCATAAATAGAAATGTAGAATCTTCATAGCGTTTCTTAAATTTGATCTTAGTAATAGTAAGTGAAATTAAAATTCTACCCAATAATTCTTACATTGGGGAAACTATCGCAAATATTCCGCGATTATTTGTTAAGTTACACGTCCTATTAAAGAAAACGAGAATAAAGCAAGGATAAACTATAACATTCTATGTATCCCAACTATTAAAACTTATTCACCACTGACACGTACCAAATTTCCATTTCTTAAAATAACGTATGTTTTTCTTTACTTCTGAAGATGTATTTCCAAACTGTTACTTATTATTGGCTACATGAGTTAACCGTGATAAACTAATACATTAAAATTATTAGCCATTACTCTTTCTGATTGAATTATGAAAAAATAAGGACTGAGAATATAGTGTTAATAATCTGCAAAATTAATATTCACATAAAAATGGATTACTTAGCACTATGAAATATGAAACAAATGATATTCATTAATTTTCAAAGAGAAAGGATGAAATCAATACACACATACATGCCTATATAATTCTGCAAGAGTGATTCTCAATACACACACACACACACACACACACACACACACACACACACACACACACACACACACACACACACACACACACACACACACACACACACCTACACACACATACACATACACGCACATAGCATCTTTTCATGTTTGCATGTATTCACATGCTATGCCTGTATCACCCCCACCCCCACCCCCCACTCCCTCTCACTCATGCACTCTTCCAATACACACAAATCAAAATAATACAACAGAAGTCTCGTCATGTAATTTTATTTCAAGACCAGAAATCCTTTTTGCAAATCAACATAAGGAGTATACATATGCTAGCTCACATCTCTACAATAACATGAAACAAAACTATTCCTGTTTTTATTTATTTATTTTTTTTTTACATCAGATACAATTTCTATTTGAGATTCAAAAAGGGAAGCTTTCTAAATAAAACTAAAAAAGATTAAATATATTCCGAGTGCAGTAATGAATAAATTATGATGACTGTCATATTATATGTTCTTGCATGAGAAAAGATGCATGAAAAAAGAACAGAAGTTTATAACATCTAAAACAAAACTAGTGAAGATTATAAAGCAAATATAAAACAATGCACATATTAAAAAAAGCAAAACTATAAACCAGAATAGCAATAATAGTAATACTTATACTGTTACTATTACTATCTATACTATATTACCCTCACTAATACTATTGTTAGAAGTTCTATTATTGCTGTAACAACAAGTAGCAATATAATATGAATAATAATGATACTACTACTACTACTACTACTACTACTACTACTACTACTATTATTACTACTACTGAACTAATACCAATACTAACAATAAGAAGAAAACACTGCTATTATTACTACTACTGAATATTATAAAACAATAATTATACTAACAAGACTTAATAATCAATAATATAAATACTACTACTATTACTACTACTACTACTACTAAAACTACTACTACCACTACTATTACTACTACTGCTACTAACAGTAATGAAAATAATAATAACACTGATTAAATAACAGTGATGATCATGATGATAACTTCAATAATGGTAATAATAAAACAATAATAATGGCTGCGCTAACATTATCATCATAATAATAATTCTACAAACATATTGAAAAATGGAAATGATTCCCTCGGAGGAAAGGGGTGGGGATTGAGAAGTCAGAAAAGGGAGAGTGGAAAGTGGAGGAGGAGGAGGAAGAGGGGAAGGGAAGGGGGAGGGGGAGGGGAAGGGGAATTGGAGGAGGAGGAGGAGGAGGAGGAGGAGGAGGAGGAGGAGGAGGAGGAGGAGGAGGAGGAGGAAGGGGGAAGTGGGGGAGTAGGGGGAGGAGGGGAAGGGGGAAGAGGAGGAGAAGGTGGAAAAAGATAAAGACGAAGAAAAAAGAAGAGGGAGTGAAGGAGGCAGGGGAGGAGGAGAAGGAGGAGGAGGAGGTGGAGGTGGAGGTGGAGGAGGAGGTGGAGGTGGAGGTGGAGGAGGAGGAGGAGGAGGTGGAGGTGGAGGTGGAGGTGGAGGTGGAGGAGGAGGAGGAGGAGGAGGAGGAGGAGGTGGAGGTGGAGGAGGAGGAGGAGGAGGAGGAGGAGGAGGAGGAGGAGGAGGAGGAGAAGAAGAAGAAGAAGAAGAAGAAGAAGAAGAAGAAGAAGAAGAAGAGGAGGGGAAGAGGAAGAGGAGGAAGTGAAGTTAGATGAAAAGGAAAATGAGGAAGAAGAGGCAGAAGAGTAGGAAGAGTAGGTAGAAGTAGAAGATAAAGAGATGGAAAAGGAAATAGAAGAAAAAAAATATATGGAGAGGAAGATAATACGATTTTCAAGGACTATATACTTTTAACCCATTGCCGCCGGGAATGGCATGTACGTACATGCCATTCCCACTTTGAGTCAACTTGTTTGATTGTTTTTATACGTAGATGGCTACACTTGTACTAAGTATCCAATGAGCCAATTACGAGAACTGCATGTCTCGCCTGTTCACCCTTTTCATCGATTTACGAAAATATTTAATGTTATCCTAATTTGCTGTTAAAAATAACACCGTCTATATTTATAGTACTAATAAGAATACATTTTTTCCCGCCAATTCATGGAAAGGTGAAATCAGGACTAGCAGAGCCATCTATGGACAGAGATATTTCACAAAAATATAAAAAATAAGTACAGTATTCTCCCCATTTTTTGTTCGTTTTCCCCGGCGGCAATGGGTTAAATATGGATGTCTTCTGTACGTGCCATAAAAGTTAATCCAGTATTTAAGTTTAAGCCAGATCTCTAATGCACGTATGCAATGGCAGCGTCCAGGATTAAATTTAGATCATCTCCAGACCAGGTTTCACTTTTGAGCTTAAAGTTTAATCCTGCACATGCGGCATCAACTCCATAGAAAAGATTTCATGTCAAAGATGTATGTGAAAATTCATCAGTATATATTTCTATAAGTTGTGGGATATTCAAACTGCAGGCATAACTCTCAACATTGAAAGGGAAAACAAAAAGAATATCCTATTGAGAATTTCAGAGTTTACAGACTCAGAAAAGGCAATGTTACTTCCCAATTGGAAAAAATATTCCCAACTTATGCAATATATTAATCAAACGAGAGGGGGCTTTTGAAAACATCACAATTAGATTTTAGATATAAAGTACAAACTTTCTGATTCTTTAAACTAGACTTCAAAACCGCATGGACATTTGTTATCATGATCCTCGCTAGCAACACCCTTGAAAACTACCCTACCCATGCCCTGCAATCAAACACTGGAAAGAACTCACTGAGAAAACTCCTGGGATTATAAATTGATATTATGAGTACCATATTTTTGTTTGACACCTTCATTTTGGTTGTGTATAATATTTATAGGCTACTTGAAGCCATTTATATAATTTTATTTATACTAACAGATGTACATTGGCATGATATAATACTAGCATATATCTGTATATATATACATATTTCGTCTCTAGCAAATGTTTCCTTATCGGCATTAGCATATAATATGAAACTAGTAGAGGGTGAATGCTAATTGCCATTACACAGATACCTGCTTTTTCATGTAAAACAACAGATTTACTGATAGTCGCACTGATTTGTGCAGCTGGTAGTGTGTCTTGCATCTTCTGTGCAAGTACTGTGAATTTGGATTAACTTTAATCCAGAATGAACTCTTATAACACATACAGAAATCACCTTAAGACTTTTTGAACCAACACATGAAGGTAGAGGTATTTACTAATCACTAATTAGTAAATTTCATGAATATCAAGAAGCCTTTAAAATCTTCCGCAGTTCTTGGCCATCCTCCCAGTCTGTGCGCATAATAAGCTTGAGCTGCCAGTTATTCTCCTTGATTCGCTGAATGAGGGAGTGCAAATCCTGATTAGAGAGCCCATGCCAGAAGGCAAGAGGGGCTAGGTAGCACAAGTCAGGGCAGTGCAAGAGCAGACAGTCTATTCCTTTCAAGCCAATGGCACACTCATTAATCTTTAGCTTGTGTAATTTTCTAAGGCCATCTTCAATTACTGCGTAGACGATTAGGTCATCGTTGATGCACTCAAAGGTCTCTTGGTATGGCTCTCTTACAAAGGTGATATCCAGTTCTCTCAATTCAGGTGCTTTGGTCAAAAGAGCTAGGAGGGCCTTGGAAGTCCCAACAGTTACCCGTGCAAACTTTAAGAGTGGCCAGTCTGACATCTCTGTTCCTTCTAGCAAGTCTACAGAAGATTCTAAATGCTCTAAGTTGGGTGTGAGTCCCACCAGCCATGACAGATCAAGGCAGCAATTGATGTGGTCTACAAGTATGAGCTTCTTCAAGTTCTCTCCATTACCGAGGAGATAGTCATATATCTCATTCACAAAATTACGGTAGTAAAGGCAGAGAGTGAGGGATGAGATGGAGCTGAGAATATGAAGGCAGTTAAGAGAGGAAGCATCAGTGTTGAGGCAGGTGAGATGAGGACACATTATGTTCATAAGAGATGCATGGTGTGGTAGGATCCTTGCATCCCACAATTCTTTTAGCTGGAAAGTCATGTGACCTTCCTCTGGCTGCAATACTTCCATGACACTGCTTATGGAACCTGCATGAATGTCTCCCCCAAACGATTGAAGTTTGGGGACATAATGCAAAAGAATAACAGCACTTACTAGACTCACATTAGTCTCACTCAAACAAACATACTTTAAGTTCTTGGCACAAGGTTGTGTTGGGATATCCTGTAGGCTTAGCTTTTGCAGATTTTTGCCCTCTACAGATAAAGGATCTTTCAGCAGAAGGTTTGCTACAGACTCATCATCAACCTTATAGGACCCACTGACATCTAGATACTCAAGATAAGGACAATTTGTCCCCATCATCCCAAGAAGTACTGTGTCAGCAACCCCCTTCAGAATCACCCATCGCAAGTTCTTCATCTGACTGAAGATTCGATAGAAAGTGTGATTAATGTCTGCTAAATACTTCTTGTCTGACTCTGTCTTCAAGTCGCAGGTCACACCAATCTTAGTCAGATTGACCATCAAGCCAATGGTAAGCGTGCGGTAGAAGTGCCATACCTCATCTACAAAGCCATAGCCTCCTTTTGTGAAGTCAACGATCTGAGTACTACGGTCTCCCAACAGCTCCAGTATCAGGCATTTGCTTGACAGATCCCACTTGTACATGTGCTGTTGGAAAATGATGTTGAGAAGCCTCTGTCTGATATTGGAATTGAGGTTTGCTGTTATGTATTCCCGCTGTTTCAGGCGCTCCTTTGGTGCTCCTAGCCGCCTGACATTCCTAGCGAGCCACTGTAACACCCATTCAATACATATGTTGGTCAGAGAAAGAAAAGGCTTAAAGGGTGGCATTGTTTCTGGTAGATTTCCTCAGAGGCTAAAAAAATAAAACACTTCAGAAAGGACTCAAGAGAATTCATATACTATAGTATGTCACAGCCCCACTTGTCTTGTCCTTCATTCACAAGAAATGGATATGGTGACGTGTCTGCAAGTAAAAGAGAACTTGCTGTAGCCTTTTTCTTTCACTACACTCGAAGCTCATGCATGACTATATCTTGTTTTTTTCAGTATAGTTGAAGAATGTACAAAACATCACTGCCTTTCAACACATATTTCTACTGACATAAAAGCCTGACAAACAAACTCCCACTCAATATCTGATCTTCTAGCGAAAATTGTACAGGAACTAAATCCTGCTCTTTGATATAAACATGCAACAAAAACAAAAAAACAAGACCAACCACAGAGCAACAACTGGAGTGGCAAAGTAGTACAAACAGGAAAAACAAAAGCCAAAGAGGACACATAGGAAAAAGTAGTAATTCATACAATAAAAATGAGAATGATTCTGATGATAACTAACATAATAATATTTTCATACTTTCAATAGAAGTATTTACATCTTTAATCTTTTAACTCCTTATTATTACCTTTCACTGGTTGTGAGTGTTCATTACAGAAAATAGCATATATCATTACATTTTTTTCAATATTTCTAAACTATGAAGGAACTTTAGAAGCTTCTTGAAGTTCCTTGTCATCTTCCCAGTCTGCACGCATGATAAGCTTGAGTTGCCAATTATTCTCTTTGATTCGCTGCACGAGGGATTGAAAATCCTCATTAATGAGTCCATGCCAGAAGGTAAGAGGAGCTAAGTAGCACAGGTCAGGGCAGTGCAAGAGTAGACAGTCTATCCCCTTCAAGCCAATGGCACACTCATAAATCTTTAGCTTCTGTAGTTTTCTCAGGCCATCTTCAGTCACTGCACAGATGATTAGGTCATCGTTGATGCACTCAAAGGTCTCTTGGTATGGTGCCCTTACGAAGGTAATGTCCAGGTCTCTTATTTCAGTTATGCTAGTTAGAAGAGCTAACAGTACTCTAGAGGATTCAACAGACAACTGAGCAGTCTTTAGAGAAGGCCACTTGAGTACCTCCCGTCCCTCCTCAAGGCTCACAGTAGCTACTAGATGCTCTAAATTTGGGGCAAGTTCTGCCAGCCATGATAAATCTAGATTGCAGTTAATGTGGTCAACAAGAATGAGCTCCTTAAGTTTCTCTCCATTTTCTAGAAGGTAGTCATAGATGTCGTTCTCAAAGTTTTGGTAATAAAGGCTGAGAGTAAGGGATGTGATGGAGCTAAGATTTTCCAGGGACCCAAGAGAAGAAGCATCCGTGCTAAGGCGCGTGAGCTGAGGACACACTTTGTTCAGAAGAGAAGCTTGTTGTGGTAGGATCCTTGCATCCCAAAGCTCTTGCAATTTGAATGACTTGTGTCCCTCCTTAAGATGCAAGTCATTTATAACACAGCACAGAGAACCTGCATGAATGTCTCCTCCAAATGATTCAAGGTTAGGGACAAAATGCAAGAGAATTCCTGCACTTGCCAAGGTCACATTGGTCTCACTTACACATACCATCTTTAAGCTGTTTGCACAAAGATTTGTTGGGATGTGCTGGGCACCAACTTGTACAGACTTCTGGCCCTCTGCTGGTGATGTGTTTCTTATGATTAAGTTTGCTACTGCTTCGTCATCTATTCTGGGAGACTGAGCAATGTTGAGTTTCTCAAGATGAGGGCAATTTGTCCCCATGGTTAAGAGGAATGTTTTATCAGCAACCCCTTTTAGTGTCACCCAACGTAAATTCTTCATCTGATCGAAAGCTCGATAAAATGTGTTGTTGATGTCTGGCAGATACTTTTTATCCGAGTCTGTTTTGATCTTACAGAAAATGCCTAATCTTGTCAGGTTGATTATCTTGATAACATTGAGGCTTCGGTAGAACTGCCACACCTCATCTACATATGCATAACCTCCCTCAGTGAAGTCAATACATTGAGTGCTGGTGTCTCCCAAAACCTCTAGCATTAAGCATTTGTGCGAGAGGCTCCATTTATACATATGTTGTCGAAAAGTAATGTTGATAAGTCTCTGCCTGATGTTGGAAGTGAGATGCGTGGTGACGTACTGCCTTTGTTGCAGGCGCTCCTTTAGGGATCCTTGTAACTTCAGACTAGTATAGAGCCAGTCTAAAACCCATTCAATACATGTATTGGTCAGTGAAAGAACAGCCTTATGTGGAGGCATGATTACTGACAGTTATTGCTCCAGTAGCAAAAGAAAGCATGGATTTTTTTTGGGGGGGGGAAAAGCATGTATTACAACACTTCCTTATTTCTCAAATGACATGGACTGATGATGATTCTGCAAGTAAAAAAGAGCTCTCTGTAGTCTCCTAATACACTTTGAACTATACATTACTCTTCATTCTAATAACAAAAAGTTCCATATCAAAGACACTATTTGGACTAAACTTTGAAAAGCTTATTATCTAGAACATGTGCAAAACACTTCTGATAATATCCTCCTTTAAATATTCTTGTAAAGTATTATATGTATCATATATCATACACTAAAATCAACATCCATAGCCACATCCTTCATTGAATTTATAATCCACAATGCAAGAAGGAAGGAATGAAAAATACTCAAGTGTTTAGTTATTCAACCAGTTCATATTTTGAAGTATATTCAATCACACACCTCTGAATATCACTTTCAAAGCTGGCATTTACAGTATTTAATGTGCTCTGGCAAAGCAAACACAGTTATCCACATCTCTTTCAAGTTCAGTTAATCCAAAAGCTAAAACAGGCCTTGCATGATGCAGCTAAATGATTATGTGCACTCATAAAAGAAAGACAGGAAGAAGAGAAAGAGAGCAAAATAAATTAAAAGAAAACCAGCAGTTTCAAACTGCTAGAAACCTTTTGCATTAGGAAATCTTGAAAAAAATTAAACTTCAGTGTCTTTATAATTTGTTATACATTGTTTCTATACATTTTCCATATTATTCTCAGTCAGTTGATTAATATGCAGTTACATTTTATGTAATCATGTTAATAAGCATGTATACCTTTTATATACATTCTTACATTAATTATATGATAAACCTAAATGATTATGATTTATTAAAGACTACACAAATGAAGACAAAAGACTTAAGACATTTTTTCCTAAGCCTGACGCTAGAAAAAGAAAGTTAGTGAATGCAGATTTTTACCAAGTAGTTTTAGAGCTATACAAACACCACATTGTTAGTTTATGCTAATCTCAGAAAAGCTTATCAAGATTAATACATGAAAATAACGTGTGAAGCCTTAAAACATTTGGAAAAAGATCAAATTGGAATAATCTTACCTCTTCTTCAGATTCAAAGCAATCCATGGCACAAATCGGTACTTGTATGACTGCCAAATGGATGACAGCTTTTTGAACATAACTCTTCCTTAAGGTCACATAGGCTTGTACTGTGTGCTTATTATATTCTTGAGCATGTCTGAAAGGAAAAAGATGTTTTAGTATACAAATTCTGTGAACCAGGCATATTCCCTAATGTATGTACATGCATTCATACATCAAATCTTATATTTGTGGTGACTGGTAGGTTGTCTTTAAAATTTCTGCGCTGAAAAATGTTTAAAATCTTTACGACTCAGATAAATTTCAAAATATCTTTAGTGCACTTGAGCATATAAATTAATAACATTATCTAAAGATTTAGGTTGAGTCAAAAAATGAAGGGAAGATACAGTTTTGTTTACTGGCATAAAATGTAATGTACAAAACAGTATGGAGGATGTGTTACATTACGTCTATCTTACTGTAAAACAACACAGAACTATGATCTTAAAAAAAAAAATTCTACATAGAGTGACTATGCATCAGATATATTTAAATATTTCAACAATTTTATTCATATTTCCATGAAAGAGAACAGGCACTGTGAAATTACATCAGGTACCATTTATGACTATGTTTTTGTTTATGCCTCTATAGTAAAGTTTTAAATAAAAAATCATTATGCACAAAACATACATACACAATAAATAAAACAAAGCCACCCTTATTTATGATTAGCCAATGGATGTATGACTAGTTCTGAATGGTTGTGAAAAGATCATCTTAATTTTTTAAGTGAATGATATGCACTGTACATCATATTATAGCAAAAGTGTGAAACTATATACATCCAAAATAGTTTATTTCCTTTACTACTGTAGATGTATTACTCTGTGTGTACCATATCTGTTTGGCAGTATTAATATGCAAATAATGTCAAATAACAATAATGATTAATAGTTAAAGATAATAAAAAAGAAAATTAATAAAAGAAACCTGGAAAGTAAGAGATAAAATGTGGACAACCACAACTTCAACCATCACACAAAGAACATGCCACAAGACCTAGTTGTTCTGGGGCCCTACCCTACCTGAGCTACCTTGGACTGGAAATAATCATTGTTGTATATTTCTGACTGCATGTGTGCATCTGTTGTTGTTTTCCATTGCAAATGAAATTAATTAAAGTACTGGTAATAGTTAACAAGGTGACCACACCCCTCAGAATTACTATCACTTACCAATGACTTTAAGGGGTACTTGTACGAATTCACACACGTTGCTGTATGAACCCAAAGTCCCTCCTAAACCAGGCCATCTGCCCCTTTACTCTCTACAAAATTGTTGTATTTCCCTACTGGGGATCTGCCCAATGGACCACCACCCAATTGCCGCAGATTTATTCTCCTACAGGATTTGTTACTCCCTACGTTCATCTTTTCTGATGTAATTCCCTGCCTGCACATGTTATTTTATATTTCTGTGAATGTAGTTTCTACCCTCTCTTTTGCGCCTATTTTTTAAATGTATATCAAATGTATATTCATGCACTGCACAATTTTCTTGCACAACTTAGGTGGGAGATTCCAAAGATGAAAAGTGTCTTACATTTTGTCATTCTAATTAAAACAGACAAAAAGGTTAGAAAATACACAGTCTTTCCATCATGTGCTAGATTGTGAACTATAAATTTTATTCAAACAAATGTACCCATTCAAAGGATGACTCATTCATTCAACACCGGCCCATGCAATTACCTGATAAATTACATTGTACACTATAAAATGATAGGGTAAACTTGAACCATTTCAATGATATACAATACCAAGTTAATTTTGAATACCCAAGCAATATTCTACACAGACATACGTCGTTTTCACATATAGAGATAATAAAATAATACGTTTTATTTACTCTTTTTTACTTGTAACTGATCTTTACGTTCAACCTAACCTGCCAAGAGCCCGGAATCAGTGCCTGAGATTGACCAATATAGCATCTGTGAAGCACAGCCGCAGCACGTGCCAAAGTGGGCGGAGCTATGTGTATTTGTTTACATCGATCAGCTGTTTTCCACGTGTTTTCCAATGGTTGTTAATCAGTTATCATGTGTATTTGTTTACATCGATCAGCTGTTATCCACGTATGATTTTTTTGTCCCAAGAAATGATTGTTAAGCGGTTAATCGTTATTATTACCATGAGGTATAATTATTCATATTCTCTTATCAGAAATTCTCTGTTTGTAATATATGTTGTTTTATTTATTTTGCCATTCTCAGTAGCTACAAAACTCTTTGATTTACAATAACTGGAACTTTATCGTGTGCTGTATATTGCAGTCTTAATTACAATGTTTATAGAAATTAATTATTAGTGTACTGTTATTACCATTTCTGATTGATCGTTATTCATTAGTCGATTCATGAATACTACCGTTACACCTGTCTATATCATTATCATATTGCTTACCACATCGTTTCATCATTATAGTTGGTAATACTACCATGATTATGCACTGTGTTTACGAATGGATGTCATTATCGCATTAACTATATAACAGTGGCTGACATAATTACCTGAGAAAATTATATCAGTCCTTCATCTCTTAGCTATCACTTCAGTTACATTATACTCCATCGTTCTCCAGCTTTTTCGCCTCAACAATAACGATGGAATCCCGACACAAGAAAATATTTTACAATACAGTTTTCCTCCATAAAACAAATGCATATCCCCCCCCCCCCCTTGATTACCGTATTGGGTACAGCAATTTGTCGTTTTCAAGATCATTAGCAGTTTTAGGGGAAAACATTCTTGTCATCCCTGTATGGTGGCCAACAAATAATCTTTATTTTAGGTGTATGAGAGGCTGTACCTACACGCAGGGAAGCAAGACCTATATATTAGGTCTCGTCATTTGAGGTTTCTACACACTGTGTGATATGGTCTGTGACGTCACGATGGTTTTGGTACTGAGGATGGGGGGGGGGGGTAGAAAATCGTAGAATGGGAGAGAATAACGTAGAAAATTGTAGAGTGGGGGAAATATATAAAAAGTGGTGGCCTGCATATATAGGCAGACATGGTAACAATTTCCCAACATTCAAAAAGTACAATGTTTAATTATTAAAACAAATAAATGTGCTACACATTAAAGGTCATATAGAACCATGATAAAGTATTATGGCAAAAAGGGTAAAACATTGTTAACGATTAGGATAAGTGGACAAGAGAAGGAAGGGGGGGAGGTGTAAAAAAGAGATGGAAAAGGAAAGGGGGAGAAGAAAAGAGCATGCAAAATTAGTTGAGGCGAGGGCTGAAGTCCAAGGCAGGTGTGGTCCCTACAATGCCCCCCCCCCCACCTCCCACGACAAAAAAACGATAAAGGGATTGGGAAAAATACATTAACAATCAAATTGGGCTCGGAAATACCTCTTAAATGTATTTACACGCCGTCCAAAGTCATAATAATATATGCCTCTTTATCCCTATCTATTAAAAAAAGGCAAGCTCTTCAGGAATCCCTGGAAATCTGATCTGGGAATGATGTTCTAATTATGTAGCAAGAGATGGAAACTGACGATCCTTATTTGTTTAATTAAACCGCTTACGGATGGCGAAAATTACTCTGCTGTTGGGCATTAACTGGGCTGGAGGTATTCAGTCACAAAATGTCAAGACGTCATGCATTAAATTTATTGGCGATAAAATAACAATGGTAACAATCATTATTACACGAAGGAATGATTACTTTATGTGACCTATAATTAAGCTTACACATCTAAGTCGTTAAACGCCCAGATATTGTTTTGTCGAATGCTCTCTCTTCCGTCTCTTCCTTATCCTTTGCGTGCTCACTACCTCCCTGTAAGGTCTTCAGGCGCCATCCTAAATCCCTCTTGCTGAATTTCATGTCTGGCCTCGGGGGATATGGAGATTCTCCAGCGCTCGTAGTGGAGGATGAGGTCTGCTCTCACTTCGCGGCTCAAGATTTTGTACACGTAGTCCAACTTGCGTTGCTCGCTCGCTGCCAGGTGGTCCGCCTGCTCGGGCGTGAGAGCTCGGACTGACCGGTTCAGATTCCGAAACATGTCCCACCCCGGATTGGGGAAGGCATTCTTGATTTCCATCAGAAACACAAGCTTATGCCAACAGTCAGCTGCATCAAAGGTCAAACCTTTGTCTACTGCAAGAGCTGCTTCCATGTACCTGTTTTCTCGCTGCAATCGGTTCCCTATGCCGATTTGCTCTTCAATGTAACAAGAAAACAGGTTGACTGTCGATTCCGAGCCGTAGGTGTAAGACCACCACTCCCACTGCTGGTAGTTGTGTCCCAACTCGTGCCATGAAACCCAGTCGTGTGGCGTGCCGAGGGAAGTCAAGTCATAATACTGGCGGTCGAACATGGCGGGGAAGCCGGCATGGGCGCTCCCGCAGGATATCTGCACATCGTCCACGAGCCACTGCTTCCCCCGGGGAGGCGGGTCGCTGGCTGTGAATCCTGAGAGGGATTCTAGCATCCCAATAACATC